AGAGTCTTTAGAGGGTTTCAGATTCTCTGGCCAAGGGAACGCATCAGAACAGAAGAGGAATAATTCAGAGACGCCCACCTATTGGGTAGTTTTGCCCTCTTTACCTCTCTTACTTCACTTTGAGAATCATTATATATCTTCATAGTTACTTGGAGAGGACAACTAACCTGTATAAGAATGTTCATAGCAGCCTTACTTATATACTCCAGATCTGGAAATAAACCAGTATCTATCAGCAAGAGAATGATAAACAACTTGTGGTATATTCATATCATGGAATACAACTCAACAATCTAAAGGGAGGCACTGGTGACATGCAACACCATGGATATTCAACAACTGGATGACTTATAAAAACATTATGCTGAGCCAAAAAAAAAAAAAAAAGCTAGATGTGAAAGAGTGTATATTGTGTGGTTTCACTTATGTGAAGCTCAAGAAAAGGCAAAACTAATATATGATAATAGAAATCAGAAAGTGGTTGCCTTGGGATGAAGGGTTGGAATTGATAGTAAAGGAACATGAGGGAGCTCGCGGCTGAAAGAAATATTCACTCCAGACAGATTCTTTCGGATGGTGGTTACATGGGTATACACAACTGTCAAAACTCATCAGGCTGAACACTTAAGATCTGTGTGTTGTGTACAGATTACACATTTTTTAAAAGAAGAGGAAGATCTCTTTACTCTGGACTAGATAGGAGACAGTGTTACCATTTTACTTAAATTGGCTGGGAATTAACAACTCTAATATAACAGGAAGAGCACTTCAGACATAGATGTGTTTATAGTACAAACTATTATTTGATACAAAAATATTACAAACTACATCTATATAAAAATCAGTGTCATTTGAAATGCTGATTAGCTAATTAACTACTGATACTGATAACCATGGACTTCGTGGCTTCATGGCTTTGGGAATATTAGTAGCATATTATTTCTTTACCATATTTTAGCAACACAATACTTCTGAAAAAGGCAGTCATTATGTAAGTAAATATAATAAAGCTTAATTTAAAAAATCTTGCTGACCATATAAAATGGTCAGACCATATAAAATGGAAATTGTCTAAGAAAATTTTATAATGCCTTTTAGATTTTCAAAACTATATTTATTTATTCAGTTATTAAACTAAGTATTTACCGTATACTATAGACAGTACCAGCTATTGCGCTAGGCCCTGGGAACCGGAAGACTCTAAGACCCAGACTCTGACATTAATATAAGTTGTTCTACATTTGAAGCTAAAAAGCATTAATCCATTTCCTGGCATTTGAATTTGTTCTCCACGCCAGGTACTGAGGAAACACCAAGGAAGGAGTGGGTCCCGCTCTCACAGAGCTCCTCTTCTAGTATAAGGTTGCAGTTGCTGGAAGAATCCTTGTGTTTTCTGGGATCCTGCTTTCTCCGCACATTCTCATCAGGCCAGGCCCTGTGAGGACCATACCTAAGCTGAGGTGGATCCTGTTCCCAAGGACATATGGAGCATTACTAGTCACCAGGCATTCTGGGGTTGGATGCCATCAGTCCTTACTGACATGGAGCCCAACTGAGGAATGTGAGAGACATCGTCAGAGCCCAGGGGACCCTGCTTGTTAGAATCTTCTTTCCTTGGAGCCTCGCTTCTTCTGAGATCCCATGCAGAGGTCCTGGCAAGGGTCTGCCTGCCAGAATTATACTTGTGGAATCTTTCATCACTGATATCAATTAAATTTTTTAAAAAATTTTTTCTTTACTGATTTTAGAGAGTGAGAGTAAGAGAGAAGGAGAGAGAGATGGAAACATTGATGAGAGAGAATATCGACTGGCCTTCTCCTGCATGCCCCCCACTGGGGATCTGGCCCACAGCCTGGGCATGTGCCCTGACCAGGAATTGATCTGGTGACCTCTTGGTGCATGGGTCGATGCTCAATCACTGAGCCACACCGGCCAGGCTCAACTAAGTTGTCTAAGCTAAGCTTGGACATGGAGCAGAGGAAAGCTGGGAAGGTTAACACAGAGGTCATTGCTGATCTGCTTAGCGGAGACCTCAGGATCTAAGCTTGGGTTCTTCTGTCTTTATAAAGGCCTAATTTAATCAAATAAAATATCTGATTTTAGTATGAAATTTGATATAAAACTGCTTAAGCAAGTCAAGGAAACATGGGTTGTGGAGATTGCTGAAAGGCACTGCTAGATGGAGTGGCATGTACTCTGCCCACAGTTCAGGCCCCTTCGCCACCTCTGCTGAGCAGAAAGAATTACATGTTCAAGAAACTGTGTTATGTCATTTTCAAAACAGAAAATCCATGAATGTTCTGGAATAAAGTAGGTATGTGATTCTACTCTTAATACGAGATTGCAGTATTTAAAAACTATGAAATCCTGTTCCATAATTACTCATTTGGGCATTTTAGTAGTCACAGATTCCCCCCAAAATTAGATGGGTCTTTCTGAGAGACTGGTCACAAATTAGATGCATTTATTTATTTATTTATTTATTTTTATACAGCAGCAATTTCTGGTTATTTAAGGACAAAACTAGAATAAGACTTGAGTGTTAAATTGTGGTTCTGAGCTCTAAAGTTGAATGAAGAAGATGTCAATTCTCATTTTTAAAAAGAAATTTGCAAGTAAGTAAAATCAGAGCACAGCAAATATTATCCACATATGTAATGGAAAATCTACCACTAAAATACCTAGGCACTTGCTTTTAAAGACTTAATTATAGCAATCCATGGTAAAGCAAAGAAATCAGGCTTCTTGATTTCTAGAGATATTCTTGTCCATGAAATCACATGTCATCTTTGCCTCCTAGTCCCTCATTTGGATAAGCAACACCAACAGAAATCCATTGCCATAAATGGAGCAGGTATTAGGTTCCTGCTTCCCAGGTGTCTGCCTGTCTCTTATCTATAATCTATTTATAAATCACTGTGGGAGGTCCTCCCATGAGGGTATATATCCCCTCTGGACCATCTCCACTCCCCATCTTGTTACTCAATGACATCCCCAATGCATTAACTTAAAAAAAAAATATATGTTTCTATTGATTTTAGAGAGACAGAAAGGGAGAGAGAGAGACAGAGAGAGAGGTAGAAACATAGGTGAGAGAGAAACATCGACTGGCTGCCTCCTTCATTTCCCCAGCTAGGGATTGAGCCTGCAACCCAAACTCTTGGTGCATGAGTCGACGCTCAACCAACTGATCCACAGAGGCCACTAGGTGGTGAGACAGGGCTTCGATGTCAGTGGCGAGTGTGGGGAGACAGACAGTACGTACATAAATGAAGACTATAACTTCAGTTAGTAGTGAATGCTATGAAAAGAACAAGGTTAGGCAACAGGGTAGAGAGTGAGTGGGGAGAAGACCAGGGAGGTGTGAGTTGCTCTCTGACATGGTTGGGCTGAGCACTAAGTCAGGAAGAGGCCAGGGAGGGGAGCTGCAGGAAGAGGGAAGGGTGAAGTGCAAAGGCCCCAAGCAAAGCACAGCAAGGGAGTGAAGAAAAGGGAGAGCAAAAGGAGATAAGGTCAAAGAGAGAAGGGGCCGAAGAAGACGACTGGATTATCAATGGTGAAGGAAGCCTTTGGGAGTGGGGGTGAAGCGGGGTGTGATGAAATCTGCCGTGAATGGAGAGTTCTTTGGCTGTTGTGTGGAAACTAATCTGGGGGGAAGAGAGGCAGAGAAGACAGTGCAGAAAGGAAGGGACTCTAGTTAGAAAGATTTTATATAAAAAAAAAGTACCTAAAACACCTTGTTCTTTTAAACATTACAAAAGGAAACACTTGACATAACAGGGAGGAAATACAAGGGCCTAGACTGTAAGATTCCGGAGGGCAGGGATTTTCGTCTGGTTTTTTCACTGAGTACCTCCAATGCCTAGCAAGATGTGAGTCTGGAATGCATTAAAAATTTGTTAAATAAAATGAACAAAGTGACTATAGGGAATAGCCTTTTATTTGCAAAACAAGAATCAGATGAAATGAACATTCAAAGAAGCCTTATGGGCTATAAAACTGGTCTCATAATTACATTGTACATCAAAATATGAGACAGATCTCAATCAAGAATGGGGAATTTAAAAATAACATTACACTAAAACAGGGTTCAAAATACAAGTTTAAATTTAGCCACTTCCTTGTCAACTTTTTCTCACCCCTTAGACTATGAGTTTCTATGTGGCAGGAATTATGTCTTCTTTTTAACTCTCCAAGTACGAGCAGAACACATTGTGTATGTATTCTTCATAAAAGTATATTTAGGTTGTTGGACGCCTACTGAAGAAAAGCTAGCACACAGGCAAAATGCTTAAGAAAATGCGGACAACTTGGCAGCATTTATCATTACCAACATTTCAGTCTCCTAGAGTAAACTTTGAAATTACATTCTAATTTGAGATGGTTCTGGTTTGACAAGTTAACTCTTGAGACATCTGAGTACAGTATTATGAAAGAACAAAACTGTTCATCAACCTTTTATGCCAATGTTAATTTCTTTTAAAAGTAGGATTTTAATGTTTTTTAATTCCTACAGTGACCCTTAAAATTTCTATGTATGTAATCACAAATGCACACACAAGATGCATTTATAAGCTTATTGTGTTGTTCTAAAGACAGATGGGAAAATCAATTTTAATTTTGTTACTGAAATAATTTAAAAATGTATTATAGAACTGCCTCTTTTCAATCAACAGCAAGGATCTAGAAAAAGATTATACAAGTAGGCACACTTTATTTAGGTTCATTATTGTTAGAAAAATAAAGTTGCTTAACTTCAAACTGTAACAAGCCCTATTATATTTAAAGTTTCATCTCACCACTGACATCAATGTATATCGTTTTCTTATGCCATTAAAAAAAAACTCGAATTAAAAAACTCTAATAATTTATTTAACAAATATTCATTATACGAATGAACTATTAATATGCTAAAAACTGGAAAATTACTTTCAGCAAATGTGCATTATTTTGAGAATGTCTTTGCGACTTAAAGCTCTCCTCAGAGAAGGGGGACTTACCGGCTTTTATTCATGAGGTCTGCTCCCCGTGCTTTGTAATAATCTAGATTCGGATGGAACTGATAAGTCACTGGTCTTGGATTTCTCTATAGAAAAAAAAAAAGGAATACATTAAAATGTATAAAGCTATTTATAAATGATATATTAACATACAAAAGGACAAAATGATTATTTTTATATTCTTTCAGAAAAAATACATAAAATAATGAAGTTTAATGATTAGTGTGCTTGGGTTTTGCTTTTATTGTTGAAGTTTTGCTTTCACTGATCTTAGCCCTGACTAAAGACTGAAATTGTTTTAATATATTTTTCTTTTTTAAAATTTGATTTTTTTAGAGAGAGGAAGGGAGTGAGAGAAACACTGATCAGCTGCCTCCTGAACTCACCCCAGCCGGGTTCAAAACCCGAAACCTGTGTATGTGCCCTGACCAGGAATCAAATCCACCACTTTTTGGTGTAGGGGATGACACTGCAATCAACTGAGCTACACCGGCCAGGGCTAATATATTTTTCTTTTACTTGTCTCATAGTTCACATAGATTTATTCCTGTCATTAGATTTATTTTTGATGATTTTGATCACTTTCAATATGACTTTCCAAAATACAGTAAGATAAAATTACAACAAAACAGAAAAATCATATGAGATTTAACAGGAGCACAATCTATGCTAATGGACCAAGAGATACAAAGAGTCAAAAAAGCTGCATTTTGGAGGAGTAAGAGAAATCTGTTTTTGATACTCAGAATGCTAAATATGCCCACTAGATGGCACACCGAGTCTTTCTTCTAAAATGAACAAACTATTTCAAGAATTCAGCAATTCTTTTAAAGTTAGCAATTTCTATGTCATCTATTTTTATATATGAGTTTAATAAGTGCCCAAGTAGTGGAAATATTTAGCCGGGTACCATCACAATACTAAAGCAAACTGACCAAAAAGCATATTTTCATAAAAGAAACAATACACTGTCCTTTCTGGTATTTAATATTACTTATATGCACTGCAGAAATGTCGTTGAATCATAGATCCAGGTGTGTCTAAATATGTTGCTATTAATTTAATGTGTTTAAATATATCAAGTTCTTCATAGGCAAAAAATTCATCTAGTTTGTAAAAATGTTAACATGTTCATACAGTGTTACTTAAATAAATACCACCATTTCTAAAATGTTAAATTACACATTTTTTATTTAAAAGTTTAAAAAAACTTACACATGAATGTGTTCCAATGTTCACCTGAGCATATAATTCAAATGAATAATTAGCACTTTGCACTAGAACATGCCCCGTCCTTCGAGAGACCTGTCTACTCATAGAAAGGCTGCGTTTTATCCGGACAGAAATTTACCAGCAGGTTTTGATATCAATCCTTGGAGACACAATCCCAAAGCACTGATGTACTCGTATGTAGGCGGGGGTATATAATTGCTAAGGTTAAATAGTTTGAAATTCATCAAGCTAACAAGCTGCATCTTAATGGCCATGATGGACCTTTTCTTTTTCTGCTGAAAAGAGAACATTTACACAGCTCAACCCTTTCATATCTCTTCCAAGTCAGCCCTAATCATCTAACCAAAATGAAAATCCCTTGATTTAGCTCCAGCTACTACTCCACTGGTTTGGTATTCAACACACAGTTCTAAAATAATCAAATCTGAATTGCCTTGATGAAGATAACTGATGCTTCCATGACTACCATACTATTAAGTCTAACAGAGCAACTTTTCTCTCTCGAGGAATTACACAGGTTTCCTTGTGGTAGCTGACGACAACCTGGACCCAAGAATAATGGGAAAGTAAAATAGAGGGTAAAGCCATTGGCAGATTGTCAGTGCATTCATGATTTATTTTAAAAATTAACTTCTGCAGGATCATCACTCATAACTAACTTTGCTCTTTATTCTCAGTACCTGGAAATATATTTTGTTTTTGCTAATATAAAAGACTTTTCTTCTCTGACTTCCAACAAACTAATAAAGGATTATGTTACTTTTTGCTAGAAAACAATGAAAGAAGGGACTGAGTAGAGCAATTTCTTGAAACATCTTTATAAAGAAATGACAAGCAATTCAAGACCTAAGTGCAGATCTATCTAAGCACTTAAAGCCATTATTAGGAATAATGATCTAACTTGAACATATGAACGAGGCTCAAGTATTGCTTTCACGAAGGCCTATTTAAATTCCTGGGAGACTTACTAGTATCAAAGGAAGAGGCAGTTTAAAGCACCACTACACCCGGACTAAAAAAAAAGAATCAAAAGAGGATGTTGAAAAACAGCACTTGAAATATAAGAAAATAAAATCAGAGGTTCCAGTTAAAAGTTACTCAATAGGGTTTTCTGTCTGAGATGCTGCTGCTGTTACTAAAAATTATATTGATGGAGAGATGGTCTAGGCTAGTGCTGGTTCAACAGAAATACAATGCGGGCCGCCCATGCAGGCTTCATATGTAATTTAAAATTTCCTAGTGATCATATTTTAAAAAGACAAAAAACAAAATAAAACAAAAAACAAGTGAAAGTAAATGTAACAATATATTTTCTTTAATTCGGTATATCCAAAATATTGTTATTTTAACATGTAATCAATATAAAAATTCTTGCACTTTTCCACATTTTTGTGTACAAAGTCTTTGGAATCCAGTGTATATTTTATACTGAGAGCACACTGCAATTTGGACTAGCCGCACTTCAAGTGCTCAATCCCTACACTTGGCTTGTGGTTTGTCATGGGCAGGACAGACTAAGTGTCTGACATTCAAGTCAGATTCAGTACTGACAGTTCCTCAATATACCTATAATTCTTCTTTTTTAATTAAATTAGTTTTATCTCTTCTAAATAAGGTCTTAAAAAGTCAAGAAAACTTGGAACAATAACTTCTCACCCAACTATGTACCAAAATGACAATAGTTTCCTTAGAGGAATGAGATTAAATGAGCAGAAATCTAACTTTATGCAACTGAAACATTTTAAAAGTAAAGAGAAACTTGTTTTCCAAACAGAATTTTATAGAAATATAACAGTTCTGACTTTTAATTTTTAAAGATCTGGCATTTCCTCTAAAATATAGGAGGCGCTAGAATTTTACGCAAGTGCAACTCAATGTAAGAAAGACCAGACTGCATATTTCTCATTGTGCAGAATGTTATGTCTACAACTTCAGTATCATGTCTTTGCCTGGACGGGAACAATCAGTACTTAATTAAAACATATTTTCACACAGTCCTGATTTCAACGATTATAAGCTTTCCCAAACCAATGTACATTAAAAAAAATACAGTTTTGTTTCGATGAATTTTTCTTTGATAGAAAGATAGCAAAATGGTAATAATATCTTAACTCATACTGGTCTGTGTGTGCAGAGGAATACCAATTATGTTCCATGATCTGGTAAGTCTATGTAACTCTACATGAAGATACTGAAATCATGCCCTGGCCAGTTTAGCTCAGGGGTTGGAGCGTCAGCCCACAGACCAAAGAGTCACGGGTTCGATTCTGGTCAAGGGCATATACCTTGGTTGAGGTTCAGTCTCCAGCCATGGTCAGGGTCATGAGAGAGGCAGCTAGATGATGTGTCTCTTTCATGTCGATGTTTTTCTTTCCTTTCCTCCCTCCCTCCCACTCTTTCTGAAGATAAATGGAAAAATATCCTCAGGTGACGATTAAAAAAATAAATACTGAAATCACAAATCTAATGTAGCTTGGTTTACTATGCCTTTCCTAGACCAACCCAGATGGACTTGAAACAAAGCTACAAGATTGCAGCTAGTTAACTTCCCAAGTACCATTTAGTTCTTCTCTGTTAACAAGCTGGTGGAGCTCCTTAAAGCTTTGTACTCAGCATTTTATTGTATGGTAATACAAGAAGAATACGGAAATGTCTTGGTATAAACAGGCTGAATTTTTGGGAAGTATCTTAAAGCTCTGTGGACTAAATGACGTACAGAGGCAGAATGGAGAGTGGTAGAAACAAATGTCCTATAGGGAACTACATGGAAAACAAAACAAAGCCCATGCTGTACTTCTGAATTTTCAAAACACTTTTGTTAATTTTCCATGATCACAAAATCAATTACAAATAGTACTTAAATGGCAACATTCAGTGTAAGGAATATAATTAATTGACATGTATCTAACCTTGCTGTCACAGTTAACGTTCTTCATTTCTACTCTATAGTATGATAATAAGCTTGCTCCTTACTGTCATTTTGGGTAAGACACACACTCTGTCCTTCCTGAGCTTGACTTTTGATGGTGGACAACTAACTCCTCTCTCTCTATCTGTACTGGAAGCCTACAGATCAGTATGTAACCCTCTTCTACCTGACACCCTTACCCCCATTTCCGATTTCAATATTTTAAGTTCAAACTCAGTTTGTTGTAGTATACAAATGTTTAAATGATAATCCACACTAGATACAACTAACAACAAGATGCTACAAGAAGTGCAATTAACTACAAGAGGGCATGTGACAATTTTCCTTGTTCTGAGTCTGGTGAAATCAAACACATTCAACAAAGATCATTACAAACGGTACTTTCTACATCGATCCCCTAACTCTTAACCCTCACTTGTAGATGACTACCTCCTTTTGAATCATCACATGGAACTCCAGAAGGAAGGAAATCTAAAGGACCATCCTGTTTTGAACAGAACAGCATCTTTCAAAGGGCTGGCTATTTATAAACACAGGTAGAACTGAAAAGAGCCAAAGAAAAGAAATTCCAGTGATTCCTGTTTTAATTATGAATGAACCAGAAGGAGTTAAAGAACAGTTAAAGTTATATGTTTAAAAAGACTAGGTAAACATAACTTGCTCATCTGCTTTAAAGGCCCAGGATGTCTGGCGGGAGGCAGGGGATGAGGCATCAGTGAGCCTCAGTGGGATCCTGCTCAGGTCCCACTCTACCCACTACTAGCCGATGAGCCACTGAGAGGAGTCAGCTACACTCCCAGCTCCAGCTTCCTTACTATGCAAAAGTGCAGTGAGGATTAAAGGAGACAATGAATGTTAAGTGTACAGCACAGTGCTGGGCACCTGATGCAAATGCAAAGAGGTGGAAGCTATGATTACCTTCTG